ACCTCTTAGTATAATGGCGCACGACATTGCTCGGTTGTTTTCGGTAATAAAGAAATATACCGAACCTCTGCCAATACAAGTTATTTATATTCAAACTTTATATTTATTGCATGGAGTAATAATTTGTACAATGTTTTATGTTTATTTTATGCAAATAGGTAAATACTCTTTTTTTTAAAAATAAGCGTAGTTATAAAAGGGAAATTTGTAATGTTGAAAAACTGTATGGCAAACAAGGCTGCATAAACATGGAATAGCTTTCCAAACACTAAAATTTGATCATCTTTCTACTGGGATACATGCTACACAGCCCAGGAAAACAGCGATAAGCAGAATCGAAATCTTCCGCCTTCTAAATTATCTATACCAGGTCAACAAAATTGTAATTTAACGTGAAATTCACGCTCCTTTCGACACAAATAAGGTCATGTAAGAGGTAGGCTGCTTCGACTTCCTTTGTCCGGGCACAGCCCGGGCTAAGAAGGTTTCAGCTTTCCAGCTGGAAAACGAGAAACTTCATTTGACAGACTCCTTTGCGTGGGATAGATCTGTCTTTTGCACACAATGGCAAAGAGCCCGTCAACTGCATCACAAACGCCAGCACTGCGCTACCTTAGGGTAACAGAGTTCTATCTGGCCGTTCTGAGCTACTAAGACCTTGGGTTCAGAAAACAAATGTTCTGTCTGCTCTACCAAAATTGTAAGATTGTTTGGAATCGTTATCGGGATATTCAAAGAACTGCATTTGAAAAAGCCTGACATGTTGTGAAACACAAGCTTTTTACGTCACATTTCTCAAAACTAGGTACTGGGCAGATAGGACTTTTATAATTCTAAGGTAGCGATTTGTGTTGACGAGGACCCAAATCGTCCACAGGGGATTGATACAATAAACCACAGCCGAGGTCACCCAGATCATCCAGGCCATGCAGGAAGGACAGTGAACCCATTACAAATCCAAGTACGCCAACCGAGCACATTGTTATCTTTCCCGAGCACATTGTAAAACCAGGATGAGGTATTTCTCAAAAGCCCATGGGTACCACGAACAACCCTGATATGTCTCCATCTTGGATGCGATATCCCAAGTTCATGGCCTCATAAATTCTGACTCTGAAGGTTTACCACAACGAGAAAACAATTTGTGCAGTGGGATCAGGAATCATTAGCTCAGCGTGGGGTCTGGAGTTACAGCAGTTTTCCTTACACTGGGGTGTAGAACCATAAATTTGTGTGGTATCATGGTGAAACCAGGCGCTCGTCTATTAAATTGTTCTTTTTTTAGTAGGAGAAACCGACATTTCTCCGCCCGTTGGAAATTCTTTATCAAATTTTATTTCCCATACCTATTTATCTATTTGGCTCAACACCTTTTTATTTCCGTTAAAAAAATACATTTCAATGTGAATTTTATTGTGAACGCAAAAACAAAATTGAATTTGCAGTTTTCAAGGACGCTCAAACTTTGAAAGTCACTAAACTTTAAAACGGCCATTTTCTCGCCAAGTTTTCCTCTAACAAAAGGCTATCTCCGCCCCCTTTCATTACAGACGTTTCGAGCTTCATTCAAGATCGATGGATTTTATTTTCATTAAATGCAAGACAAAGGAGCATGTTTTAAGATGAAAACCATTAAGTCCTTATGCCCCATCAAAAATTGACGAGCGCCTGATTCCAGTGTGTCGTGGAACATTTGATTTTTCTTCAATATCTCTTTTACGATATCATAATCCTTTTATGAACAATTTGACGTTAGAGCTTCAGGTTTTTATTGAACGCAACTTATCTAGAAAAAACCCTCTATTCACAGAGCTGTAAACCACGCCAGAACACTGATAAATACAGAGAGATTGTAGAGTGAAACATGGACGAGCTAGCCGCCTGGGGTGTTTGTTTACGAGTAGAAATGTAAAAGATATTTATTTATGCAGAGTCCCAGTGGGAATGCCTGTACAAAACTAAGAAAAAATGAACCAAAAAAAGTTTTTATCTGAGATGAAACGTAAGACAGAAACACTATTTTATCATGTCGAGGGATACAGTGCATTTTCAGAAACCCCCCCCCCCCCCAAAAAAAAACAAAAAAACAAAACAACTATAGACAATTCGAGACAATTCTTATCTTAAGGTTGTGGAGTGGAGGGGCATTCTCCAGTTTTGTTTGTTTGTTTGTTGTTTTTTATATATTGGTTTTTTTTTTGTTTGCTTTTTTTTGGATCGAAAATGACAACAACACTCATAACAATAAAAATGCCATTACCAAAAACAGCAAAATCAGCTACAGAAACAAAAATAACAACAACGGTAACAACAGCAGCAAACAACGAAAATAACAATGATGATGACGGAAAACAACATTTTAGAGCTTCAACGATAACGATTTTGATGGAAATGCCCAGATCTGCCGTCTAGAAGTGCGTTCTGCAGTGGAATCCTCCAAATTCAAACAGTCAACCCCAAATGAAAACCGATCAGCAGCAGAACCACGCCTACCACAATCACCGCCACAACCATAAACTACCACTTCAGCCAGACCAACGTCCATGATGTAGCGATAAGGCGCTTGGTCGTCACAAGCAGAAGACCCGACTTCGATTCATGAGTGGAAAAAAAAACAAAACTTGTCGAGTGTCTCTGTCTTTCAGCTGAGAAGTTGACTGCCTCTCATCCCGGGTTGGCCCTGGCCGACAGGGTCGAAGCCTGCTTTTCAAATTACCTAAATTGTGTCAATGGGGGGCGGAAAAACACCGACATTTGTTTTAAAGAGGCACAAATATCACCATCAAAAGAACCACCACCATCACTAATGTTACAAGCACAACCACCACCACCGTCAACAAAAATAACCCCACAACAACAACAACAACAGCGACGACAATAACAGCAACAGCAACAACAGCAACAAAAACAACTTGCACATCAACAACAAAACCAACAATAATAACAACAACAACAGAAGCTCTGACATAGAAAAGGAACAGCTGCAGGGTAATACGAACAAACAAATCCAATGACAAAGACAACCGCCACAATCAGAATACGTGTACTATCAAAACAGCATCAAAGTTTCCTAATCATCAACAACAACAACAACAACAACAACAACAACAGCAACAACAACAACAACAACAGCAACAACAACAATAACAACAACTATTGCAGCAGCAGTAAATAAAGAAAACAACAAAGACGACTACAGCCACGACGACAGCAACAACAACACTACAGCAAAAGCAAAAACAAAAATGAACAAACAACAACAGCAACAGCTACAACACCAACAGTAACAATAACAACGACAACAACCGCACTTTTCTCGAATCCCCTGAGGACAACATAAACCACATTTTACACTTACCTTACAAAAACCACCAATGGTGTCTTTAAAAATAATCTGAAAAACCAATTTCTCTCTCTCTCTCTCTCTCTCTCTCTCTCTCTCTCTCTCTCTCTCTCTCTCAGTATCTGGTTTATAGTGCATTTATCTGGTTGGGAACATAGCACCTGGGTCCACTAAATTTTGCTCGCCGATTACAAAACAGACACGAAAAAAAAACACAATTTTCTTTGTTATCCCTCCCCGAAGACAAATTACGGTACCCTGGTCTTTTGTCGTATAAAGTTGCCGCCTGTTTTATTACTTACCCAAAAGAAATGAACTATTTTACGAATGCGGTATACATTTTTTTTTTCAAATACCAGCTGAACCCCAGGCAAAAGTATTGCTTTTAAACATTGCCCTTGATAAGAAACAAAGAAACGGTCAAATGCTAACCTATTGCAGACGGTTTGAGGGCGCCACTGGTAGGTCTTAATCTTACTTTGTTTCTCTCTCTCCGTTATTTCAGACTGTGTATCTGACTTGCGCTTTCCCAGCACTAAATTGACCTTTATCGTGTGGCGGGTTAAGTGCAGTACTGTACAGTACACTAGTGGCCGAGAATAATTAAAGCAGCCTCTGTTCAAAGACGGGAAGAAGAGAGAGAGAGAGAGAGACAGCGAAAATGAGAGAGATATTAGAGAGAGAGAGAGAAAGAGAGAGAGAGAGAGAGAGAGAGAGAGAGAGAGAGAGAGAGAGAGGGGGGGGGTTGAGAGAG